CTGATGTTAGTGGTTCTGATGGGGATGATACTTCATGGATTTCTTGGTTTTGTAACCTGCGTGGTAATGAGTTCTTCTGTGAAGTTGATGATGATTACATTCAAGATGATTTTAACCTATGTGGATTGAGCAGTCAAGTTCCCTACTATGACTATGCGCTTGACCTCATCCTTGATGTTGAATCCTCCCATGGTATGTATTCTTTATTTGTTTAGATTACTTCATATTTTATGATGAATTTCCAAAGATTGATTTTGGACTTACTTTTCAGTTGAAGGATGCAATTTTCTTGTCTTCTGAAACTATATGGTTCGCCGTTTTATTTTCTATGGACTATTTTGACAAATTAGTATCTTTAGTGAAGTAAACATGTGGAGAACTGGTCAGCTTTACTTGATATAGTTTAGGTTGTTTGGAATAACTTCTTATAAAGGCTGGGAGAAACTAGTGAAAGTTTCCTTATTAAAAAAAAAAGAAAAAAGTAACTACTGAAAGTTAATTTTGAGTCGCATTCTACCAGGTTTTTCCAACTGGTCTAGGCTTATCCATCTTATGATGACATGTATAAATGCCCATTTGTAGATATTTGGGTGAATTTTATTGTTAGAATCATCTTATATCCGTTTGTCCAGTAGTAAGAGTTTGGTGGAATGTATCCTGTCGTCGTCCGTGTTTGATGTGACATTCATGCCGAATAGCAGCAATTCAAAATGAAGCCATTGAACCATTTAATCGATGGATAGAAATAACGGTGCCCCCATGGCTCATTGTGTCTTGTATTCTATTGCCCATCTCATTGAAATTTTAAAAATCAACTACCCATGCTTGCCCAGGAAGAAAAGATGGAAGGGGGAATGTTCTGCTTACGTTGTCTAACTGCTGGTAGAAGCAGTTTCTTTAAAAACAAAAGTCTCAAAATAGTGACAAGGTTCATGGGGCTTGAAGCAAAAAACTTGAAGTTGAGCGTATGCTTCTTTGGAATGAAACGCACAGTTCACGGCATTAAAAGAATACCAAACATATGTGAAATTTACTCAATTTAGTACTACAGTGATCAAACTGCAATTGAAATAACTATTTTCCGTATTCAGTGTACAATAAATATCGATATTAATCCAACTCCTCAAAATTGAGACTCAACAAACCCATCGCTTTTGGTTAGGATCACCTTGCACGTCTTTGTTTGAAGTGTTACTTATATGAAATACATGACAAGGTGATAACCCTTCGTGTCACATTGTTTCGTCGCTTTAGGCAACGAAACAACGGTTTTTAATAAAACGGGATAAAAGAGCTGCTTCTTTTCAATCAAGGAATAGGGCACACTTTTATAAGCACATGATCCATTAAGCGATAACCCTCGCTTCACATTGCTTAATTGCTTTAAGAGACAAAATGATGGCTGTTGATGACATTGGGTAAAACGAGCTGCTTCGTTTCATTCAGAAATCAATTTTTCCTGGTATTATGGTAGTTTTACATTGAGATAACGTCATATACTCTTTTCGTATCCTATCCCCCCCCCCCCCCCACCACACACACACACACAACTAAACCTTACGTAGTCGTAGACTAATATAGAGTAAGTAATTTACGTACTGTAACGTAGTTAATTTAC